AGATTCCTGGTCAGGGCACTTAACTGCATTGCTGAGTTGATCCCCAGTCAGGGCATATGCAGGAGGCAATGGATCAGTATTTCTCTCTTACATCGATGTTTCTCTTTCTCTCTCCTTTCCTCTCTCTCTAAAATCAATAAAAGCTTACCCTTGGTGAGGATTAAAAAAAGGGAGATGAATTATAAAAATACTCAATTAACCCAAAATAGTCAGAAAATAATTTAAAAAAAACATTTTGGGGCAAATAGAAAACATATAATCAGGGAGTAGATATAATAGGTATATGTGTTGTTTACAAAAGATTGAAAGTAAAAACATGAATAAGAAGACATCATGCAAACACCAACTTTGGAAAGCTGGTGTGCCTTATTAATATCAGGAGAAATAGATTTTAAGGCAAGAAGCATTATTTGAGATAAAGACATTTTATAGAGCTAAAAGGGTCAACCCACCAGGAAGCTATAACAATTCCAAATGTGTATGTACCTAGTAACATAGCCTAAAACATAGAAATAAAAAATTGACAGAACTAAAAGTAGAAATAGATAACGATAAAGTCACAGTTGAGGACATTGATACACCTATCTCAATAGTTGAAGGAAAAGGAGACAAAAATAATCTGAGTGGAAATGGCTCTTTTAAGTTTGGAGTAAAACAGTGGTATCCGTGCATTTTGTGGCCCCTCCCCCCAGAGTGTGGTCAGGACCTGTGACATGCTTCAGGCACAGAGGTGATGGGATGTGTGTGGCCACATTGTGTAAGATGGTAATGCTGGTCTTGGGGGGAGACTCTGTCCTGTGCTGGCTGTGGGAGTACCATGTGAACTGTCCGTGGACAGGGCCTTGTGCCAAGAAATGAGAACAATCGCAGTTACAGCCACCAGGAAACTGAGGCCCTCAGCCTGGCCACCTGCAAGGAACTGAATTCTGATGAGAACGCGAGCCGGGAAGCAACTCCCTCCCCAGTCGAGCCTCCAGATGAGACCCCATGATGCGAACCCACAGGAAACCCAGTATAGCATGACCCCAGAGACTTTGAGATGACACGTGCATTGTTTTAGGCCAGTAAGCTTGTGGTAATTCGTTACCAGCAAAAGGAAAGAAGCACCCAGACCAATGGGGAATTCTAGGCAGCTATCAACAAGGAAGAGGAGCCTTCCTGTATTCACAGGGAAGGAGCTCCACATTATTAAATTAAAAAAAAAAACACACATAGTGGGTAAACTATGAAACAATTCGTATTTTAAAAAGTTATCCACAGACTTTATCTATACCCAGATAGATGATAGAGATGTGCGGTCAATCCTCGTTATTCAGGGATTCCTTATTTGTGAATTCACCTAATCACTACGATTGATTTGTAACCCCCAAATCAACACTTGCGGTGCCTGTGTGGTCATTTGTGGGCTTGTGCAGGGTGGCCAAAAATGTGAGTTCCCAGCTGAGGCTGCACAGGCGACACGGCCTCTTGTGTCAGCTCTCGGTCTGTGAACGTGTCCTTTCAGGGTCTCTTTGGGGCCGTGATTTTCCACGTTTGGGGGCTTTATGCTTGTGACTTGGCTGGTTGAAATGGCCCGCAGCATGGAGCCGAAGTGCTGTCTGGTGTCCTAAGTGCAAGAAGGCCGCACTGTGCTTCATGGAGGAAATACATGTTCGCACGAGAGTGAGAGTGCAGATGGCTTTAGTCCAATTTTGCATGAGATGTATATTAAATATACATTAATTAAATAAGAAGTCCTTAACCAGAAACATACATCAAACAAGGCTACAGCTTGATGGGCTGATGAAAATACTGCGCCGAGAGGCGCACAGGGTCCCAACCCTGCATTTCCCCCAGCGCCATGGTTCAGCATTTGCTAATTCAGTGTTTGCGGCAACTTCATAGAACATAACTACTACGAATAATGAGACTGGACTGTGTGTAAGAGTGTTTGTGCAGCACACACAGACACACAGATGGAGAGGCAGGGACAGAGAAGATAGAGGAGTGGAAGTCGCTGCTTCCAGAGCGGGGATGTGGGTGCTGACAGAGTGAGGGAGACACGCTCTTGGCCACATTTTGCATCTCTTTTGTGTTCTGTGACCTGTGCTTCTTAGCGACCCTGTGGGCTGTCTGGAGTAGGCAGGCGGGATATCCGACCGGTGGAGGGCTGGGTAAAGGCTGTGGGGGGCTGTCTTGGAGGAGAAGCCGGGCTTCCCCACAGAGAAGGCCACCCAAGAGGGAGACCAGGGCTGTGACCCTTCCCTGGTTCAGCCCAGGTGCTCCCTGTGGGACACGCATAGGAACCAGACACCCAGGAAGCTGTCATTTTTCTGTGGGGAAGGGAGCCGCACAATTTTCCCTAGAATACAGTCCTGAGGTCTCCCAAGCTCAGAGACAGGTAGAACGTGGACACGCGGGCAGCTGGCCTTGGAGAGAGGCGCTTTAGTGATAAGAAATCCCCCTGAGCTCCGGCCAAGAGGCCCAGGTCCTGCCGCACCCATGTGGCCCTGGAAGTCACCCAACGCCCTGGCCTCTCAGTTCCTCCCACACAAGTTGCCAACAGTCCTGCTTCCCCACAGGATGGGGTGTTTGAACCACAGGGAAACTCTTCCTAGTGTAGCTGCCTACAGAGTGAGCCACGCACTGAGGCTGCCCTGGCAGCTGACCAGACGATGCCCCAGCACATCCAAGATGGCCTGAGGCAAGACCCCACCCTCCCCTGTCTGAGGACCCAGACTGGGACCTGCCACCCACTTCTATTCCCCTGGGGACACAATGGGGCAGGCTCCTGAGCTAAACAATCTAGGAGATTTATAAGCTGGACAACATCCCAGGCAAACAAACATCCTGTGCCTCTGGGAAGCGGAAATGGGACACAGAGCCAGGAGGGTATAAAAGCCAACAGCCCTGAGCACTATACACATTCACACTCACACTCACACTCACACCTCCTCCCAGTTCACTCCAGCCCCACCGCCCACCATGGCCGCATCCACCCTCTCCGTCTGCTCCGACTCCTCCTGGCAGGTGGATGACTGTCCAGAGAGCTGCTGTGAGCCCTCCTGCTGTGTCCCCAGCTGCTGTCAGTCCTCCTGCTGTGTCCCCAGCTGCTGCCAGCCCTCTTGTTGCACCTCCTGCCCCTGCCAGCAGGCCTGCTGTGTGTCTGTCTGCTGCAAGCCCGTGTGCTGCACACCTGTCTGCTGCAAGCCTGTCTGCTGCACACCTGTCTGCTGCAAGCCCCTGTGCTGTGTGCCTGTCTGCTCTGGGGCCTCCTCCTGCTGCCAGCCCACCCCCTGCACCTCATCCTGCTGCAGACCCTCCTCCTGTGTGTCCCTCATCTGCCGCCCCGTGTGCAGGCCTGCCTGCTGCGTGCCCGCCTCCTCCTGCTGTGGCCCTGCCTCCTCCTGCCAGCCCAGCTGCTGCCGCCCATCCTCCTGCATGTCCCTGCTCTGCCGCCCCCTGTGCTCCCGCCCAGCCTGCTGCGTCCCCGCCTCGGCCCAGAAGTCCTGCTGCTGAACAGGCATGTCCCCAGGGCCAGCCGGGCTCAGGTCTTACCCTGTGACGGTGGTTCTCCCAGCCACCCCTCAGTCAGGTCCTGACCTGTGTTAGATGGCTGTCCCTACTCAGGATGGGGTCCCCCAGGCTTCACTGTTCTGAGCTGACCTCTGCTCCCAGGAGCCCTGAACCTCACTGCTTCCTGGGCTCTTGCCTCCCAGGAGGCGTCTCCACCTGCCCCTGGGTTACCTGTCCTTTCGTTCAAGTTTCTCTGTCAATTCACTTGATCTCTCCTCTCAGCCTGTCAGCATCTCCTTGGTCAACCCAATAAACTCACTTCATCATCTGAGCGCTTCCTTCATCTGATTTCATGGGGTGGGGAGGGTGGGGGGGAGAACATAGGGTTTTCACCAGACATTGGTCTTCTCCAGCCTCAAGTATTTCTAGAAATGAGTGGGAGATCCCAAAGGGCAGTGTCCTAACTGCTCTGGACAAGGTGACCGGGTGGGACTCCTGCCCTGACCGACGAATGTCCGTGTTTGGGGCCCCTGCCCCAGGCTTACCCGAGCTGGTCACCTGCAGACACATCTAGGGGTTCTCAAGTCCCCTGGACCCTTTCCACCCACTGTCCACCTGGGCAAACCCACCCTCAGAGTTGCTCATCGGGGAGCTGGCCTGGGGCTCCGTGCGGCACACCTCTGGGCTGGGCCTCCTGGTCATCTACCTGCAGGTCTGCACTGTTAGCACAGACTGATGGAGTGAGGGAGCTCACAGGAGTAAACACCCGGATGTGGAAACAAAATATGAAGGAGCGGGTGGCAGGACCTACAGCGTCATGTCTGTGTGTGCCCCGAGGGCCTCCTCTGGCAGCTCCCGCCTGCCTGCGTCTGGGAGTGTGAGGGACACCGAGCCACGATGCGGGCTCCCCTGGGACCTGAGTGCTCCTGTCAGGCCTCCAAGTACCAAAGGGCCATGGGCAACAGCCTACTCTGACGTCAGGATGACATTGACACCACCCAAGGGCACATGTTGACAATGTGCAAATACCCCAGCGAGATCACCCCCTAGGGGCTGTGGCCAGAACTGCTGCAGGAAATGGACCACTGTCCCCAACCCAGAAAGGATCCGCCAGTGTTCAGCCCCCCTTGGGTCTACCAGGGGGACAAAGCGCCGCCTCCCTGCTTGTGAGCCCCTCACTCTTCCTGCAGCCAGTGACATGGCCAGAACCCCCAGAGGGAGCCCCTGATGTCCCTGAGGTCTCTGCCTCCTCCCCTGAAACGCCGGCCACCTCCCACCCCACACCATGCTGCACATTGCAGTCCAAACTTCCCTCTTCTCCTGCTGACCAGTTTTTCACCCATTTCTGCTTAAAACTGGCTTTGTTGAGATACAACTTACATGTAATCAAATGCACACAATTTAATTGTACACTTTGATGAGTTTTTTAAAAGGTCGCTATCCTGTTGCCTCCACCTATGTCAAGATATAGAGCCCTGGCCAGTTTGGCTCAGTGGAAAGAGCATTGGCCTGGGGACTGCAGGGTCCTGAGTTCGAGTCTGGTCAAGGGCATGTACCTCAGTTGCAGGCTCTATGCCCACATGTGTGAAGGCAACCAACTGTGTCTCTTACATTGATGTTTCTCTCTCTATGTCTCTCTCTCTCCTTTCCACTCTCTCTAAAAATCAATGGGAAAATATCCTCAGATGAGGATTAACAAAAGCAAACAAGGGAGAGACGTAGAACATTTGCTTCAGGCCAAAGGTTCCTGGCATTCCTTCCCAACCCACCACTCTCCACCCGGAGCCCAGCCACCCCTGAGCCACCGTCTCACTAAAGACAGGCCACAGGGAAGGAATCGTGCAGTGTGTGTCGGTGTCTGGCTCTGCTTACTTGTCTCTGTTGTTGTGTATAACCGCAGTTGATTCCTTTTTAACGGCTGAATCGAGCTTTATTGAATGGATGTACCACAGTTTACCCATTCACCTGTTGAAGAATATTTGGGTTGTCTCCAGGTTATGGGGATTCTGAACGAAGCCGCTGTGAACACCTGCACTCAGCGTGTTTTCATTTCTCTTGGGTAGATGCCTCGGGCGGCATTGCTGGTCACGTGGTGGGTGCAGGGTGGGTCGTGGTATTTTTATTCCCCTGATGACTAATGATGGCGATTATCTCGTGTGCTTGTTTGCCATTTGTCCTAGTATGTCTTCCTCAGTGCAGTGCCTGCTACAAACCTCTGCCCATTTGTACAAAATCAGATTGTTTATCCTTATTACTAACTTGTGAGTGTTATTCATATAGTCTGGACTCCAGGCATGTGTCATATCCGTAAATTGAAAATCTCTCTATCTGTGACTAGCCTTTTCATCTTCTTAACAGTGCTTTGTGAAGAGCTGACATCTTTAATTTTGACTAAATTCAATTGGTCATGTTTTCTTCAATGGTTCTAGCTAAGAAATCTTTGCCTAAACCTAAGATCACACAGATTTTGTCCTATGCTTACTTCTAAATATTTTACAGTTTTAACTTTCATGCTTAGTTCTATGATCCATTTCAAGTTAAATTTTTTCAAGTTAATTTTTTAATATACTGTGAGTTGTTCCAGGATCATTTAAGATTATTCTTTCTCCACTGAATTACCCTTGCCAAAAAATCTATTAACCGTGTATATGGAAGATCTATTTCTGCACTTTCTCATCTACTTTATTCTTCTATGTTTATTACTACACCAATAATAAACATGTTTATTATTATGCTAATAACACACTGTCTTAATCAATGTCGCTTTAAACTAAGTGCTGAAATCAAGCAATGTAAGTCCTCCAATTCTGTTTTTCTTTTTCCAAATTGGTTGGCTAATCTAGATTTAGAGAGGGAGAGAGAGATAGAAACATCAATGATGAGAGAGAACCACCGATCGGCGGCCTCCTGCAAGCCTCCCACTGGAGATCAAGCCCGTACCCCAGCATGTGCCCTTGACTGGAATCGAACCCGGGACCCTTCAGTCTGCAGACCAATGCTCTATCCACTGAAACAAACAGGCTAGAGCTCCTATTTCATTTTTAATGTTTTAATTAATGGTAAGATTTTTTTTCATTTTTGACTATTTATTGTTATTTGGTAAAAATACAATTGGCTTTTGTATATTGATTGACCTTGTATCCTGTAACCTTGCAAAATTCACTTGAATTTAGTGGCTTTTTGTGTGTGTGTGTGTGTGTATTTCTTCCTTAGGATTTTCAGTAGTCAAGGCATTTGGGCTCGATGTCTTCTTTGTGGGAAAGGTTTTAACCATGAATTCAATTTCTTCAATTGGCAGAGGGCTATCCAGGTTTTCTATTTCATCTTGTATTAGATTTTATCATTTATATCGTTCCAGTTATTTGCCTATTTCATCTAAGTTGTTGAATGTATCAGCATAACATTGTTTGCTTTCATCCTTTTATTCCTTTAGTCAATAGAATCTGTGCTTGTAAGCCTTCTTTCATTCATGATATTAGTAATTTATTTCTTTTCTCTTTTTACTTGACTGGTAAAGCAAAAATGTATCAATCTTATTGATCTTTTCAAAAAAGCAAATTTGGCTTATTGATTTTCTCTCTTGTCTGTTCATTTTTCTATTTGGTAGATTTCTACACTTCTTGATTACTTTCTTCCATCTACTTATTTTTGGATTCAATTTATACTTCTTTTTATAGCTTCTTGTGGTAGAAACTTAAATAATTGATCTCAATCCTCCCTTCTTTTTAAATATACATTATTAAAACTATACATTTCCCTATACACTGTGTTAGCTGCATCCCACAAAGTTTATTTTCATTTTATTCAAAATATTTTCTAATTTTCTTGTGATTTCTTCTTTGACTCAAGGATTATTTTGATGTTTGTTGTTTAATTTTCTAATATTAGACAATTTTCCAGATAACTTTCTGTTAATGATTTCTGATTCTGTTGTGGTCAGACAACATTCTCTGTATGATTTCATACCTATTAAATATATTGAGACTTGTTTAATGGCCTAGCATATGATATGTTTTGGTGAGTGTTTTTATATGGTATTTTGTATAAATATCAATTAGGTCAGGTTAATTACAGTGTTTTTTAAATTTTCTGTATATTTATCAATTTCATCAAATTAAAAAAATATTTGGCTATTAGCTCTTAAAATATCTTTTGCCCTCTCCCCCACCTTTTTTAAAAGATACCCCAGATGTTTTTATATTAGACCACTTAATATTGTTTCCCAGTTCACTGAGGCTCTGTAAAGTTTTTATTTTTTTTCTCACTGTCCTCTGATTTGGATAATTTCTATGGCTATGTCTTCAGGGTTACTGTTCTTTTCTTTTGCAGTGTCTAAACTACTTTAAGGTTCATCCTTCTAATTTTTTATTGTTAATGTTTTATTTTTCAACGTTTGGAATTCTGTTTAATTTTCTTTTGTATCTTCCATTTCTCTCCCCATTATGTTCATGTTTTTCTTTAAATCCTGAACATATGTATAGTGGCTATTTTAACTACCTTGTCTGCTAGTTCCATCAACTCTGTCTGTGGGTTTGTTTCTATAAACTGTTTTATCTCTTGGTTATGGGTGACATTTTTCTCTTCTTCATGTGTCTACTGATATTTTATTGAATGCTGGAATTCAATAAAATAAAACCATAATACTGCTGAATGCTGCCTCATTCTCCATGAACTCTGATTCCTTCTCTGTAAAACCTCCACACTATTTGTCACCCTCCATGTGCTGCAGTCTGGAAACTCTCAGCAGCGAGCCAGAGCAATTAAACAAGCCTCAATATATTTATTTATTCATTCATTTATTTATTTATTTTTCTTTATTGATTAAGGTATTACATATGTGTCCTTATCCCTCATTGCCCGCCCCCCCATCCACTCCCCAGCTCATGCCCTCACCCCCCATTGTCTGTGTCCATTGGTTAGGCTTCTATGCATGCATACAAGTCCTTTGGTTAATCTCTCCCCCTTACCCTCACCCTCCCCTACCTTTCCTCTGAGGTTTGAGCATCTGATTGATGCTTCTCTGTCTCTGGATCTGTTTTTGTTCATCAGTTTATGTTGTTCATTATATTACACAAATGAGTGAGATCATGTGATATTTATCTT